AGCGTCCACACGTCAAATGTGCTTTTGTGCAAGTAAATCAGCAGAACAGAGGGCTTTTTCCGGTGTAGGTAAACCTCCTTTTATGAAGCAGAACTCAGCTATAGCACAAAAAGAGCCTGTCCGAAAAGGTACAGGTGCTCTGATGGCCATTCTGTGAATGGCCATCAGAGCTTTCTTGTGCAAGAGCTTCCATGCAGTGTGGACACTCTCGCGCAAAAGCAATGAGCTTTGAGGTGTGGATGTGTTCGTGTGCAAGAAGCCTGCAGTGCAGACGTAGCCTTTGGGTAAGACTGGCTAAAAACATCTAGCCAGTTGTCTTATGTGCAAATTGAGTTACATTATTAAAAGACTTGGCAATACTGTGAGTCTCAAGAATCCCAAGACTAGGCATATCAGAAAGCTTGAATCAGCCAAGACAATTTTCATACTGTCCATACTTGGGAGGTGTGTGACCTAGAACAGGACTGGAAGACAGGCAATTCTACATCCCAGTACTGTTGCTAATTTACTCTGTAATCTTTGGGCACATCACTGAACCTTGGTGTGTCTCAGGCTCCCCTTTGTAAAATTGAGATAATTATGCTTTCTCATCTAAGACTACTAGTGAAGAATCATTCATATTTCCTATGGGATATGCTGGAGAGCCTTTTCTCCTAGAATCTGTAGTATGTTACACCACAGGAAATAACATTTAAGTCAATGGGACTATTCGATATAGGACAAAATTGATGAGAGTCACTGGGCACAGCTTGATACCACAGTCCTTGATACATTACTGTGTCACAGTTTCCCTTCTGTGCTCTGAGCTATTCAGACACTGCACAACAGGTGAGTCAATTAACGTTCTTCCTCTTGGGGTTTGCTTTGTTTAGCAAAAACAAACTGAAACCTTTTATTTGGCCCATCCACAGCATAATGAGTCCTTCCTTAGCTAGCAGGGTTTCACAGATCAGTTCATCTTCTCTTCTCAAGGACTACACTGTCCCTCAAGCCCTCAGGAAAACTCCCAGCATTTCCTGTTCTTTCTATTGGTCTCCCACAGCCCTTTCACCAGGCTATACAGAGAACTCCCCTCCAGATCATATTCTGCCCTTGACTCACCTAAACTAAGACTAGGCAACTTTCCCCTCCTTTTTAAATTTCAGTCTGTACAGGCAGTCCCCGGGTTACGTACAAGATAGGGACTGTAGGTTTGTTCTTAAGTTGAATCTGTATGTAAGTCGGAACTGGTGCCCAGATTCAGCCGCTGCTGAAACTGATCAGTTTCAACAGCGGCTGAATCTGGACGCCAGTTATGACGTACATACAGATTCAACTTAAGAACCCCAGGCATCCCCAAGTTAGCTGCTGCTGAAACTGATCAGTGGCTGATTCCAGGAAGCCCGGGGCAGGAGCTTCCTGTAGTCAGCCACTGGTCAGTTTCAGCAGCGGCTGACTTGGGGGGCGCCTGGGGCAGAGCAGCTGGGGTGCTGTTGGGTTGGTCCAGTAGCGCCAAGAAGCGGTGCTGCTGGACCAACCGGCAGCGCCCCAGCTGCTCTACCACAGGCCCGGGGCTTTGCTCCACGTCTCCCTGGTCTGCTGGGGGGGGCCACTAGCTGCGCCCTCCCCCCCCAGCAGACCAGGGACACGGGGAGCAAAGCCGCAGCGGCGGCGGGGTGCCGCGCCTCCCCGGCTTTGCCAGAGCAAAGCCTCAGAGGCGCGGGACCCCTCCGCCTCCCCGGCTTTGCTCCGGGTGTCCCTGGTCTGCTGGAGACGGTCCCCAGCAGACCAGGGGCACCCGGAGCAGCTTTTCTCGCCCCGGAGGTCAAGGTGGCGGGACCACTGTGCTCTGGGCGGTCTCCATTTTCTGCTTCACACACAATCAGTTAGAATTAACTTGTTTAAAAATCTTTGTAATATGTGGCCAGCCACATGTAAAACAGAAATCGTCTTCATCTCTATTAATCTTCCTTTGCCCTTCTCCCCTCCCCAGCCTCTCTCGTGCTTCCTTTCTATCCTCCCTCCTTGTTCTCTGCTGAAAACCTGAAGATTTATTTTAACTTATTTTTTCATAGCTCAGTCTGGTAGGGCAGTATTAATGTTCCTATACTGCCGTTGCAAAACATTCGTAAGTCGGATCCGCGTAACTTAGGGACTGCCTGTACTCAACTGATCCTAGTCCTGTGACCTCATCTTGTTTATGTGCTCTGGATGGTCAAAATTTCAACTACCATTTCTGACCCATGCATTGGGCAGTGGGGGGGATCAGACACAGGTAGTGCTGTGTCCAAACTCCTTTGCCCATTCTGTGACATTGAGTTAGAATAATTTAGCCCTTTAAATTGCTTACCGTGTGAAATATGTAGACTTTTGAGTTAATCTCATGCTTGGAATGCTAAACGTACTTTTGCATAGCTTTCCTATATGCTCAGTCCCATTAAATAAGAGAATGGATTTCTACCTATTTATTACAGATAGCTATAGTCCAACATAAAAAATTTCCAATTAACTCCACTTAGGTTACTAATTCCTCTCAATTTCTTTTGGCCCAATTCTGCCAATCTCACACTGAGGAGGGAGAGCACCTTACCCCACAAGAAGTGTCACTGATTTCAAGAGGGCCATTTGCAAAAGTATTATTCAACAAGAAGCAAGGTGGTGGAATTTGACTCTTTTTTTTTTATCAGTCATTTCTCCACTACAGATTTTGTTCATAGTCATGTTAAAATTGTATCCATAAACCACAGATTTATCCTATACAGGGTTCAGAGAACGTGGGAATATATGCCTTAAAAGCCTCAATGTAGGAAAAGAAAGGATAGACCTGCTATTCTCCAGTTCATAATTACCTCCTTAACATGCTCTGTGAGCAAGATCTGCCTGAGCTGAAAAGCTGGAGGTGATCATTCCAGCTTTAATCAGCATCACATATACGAACTTTACAAATATTAGCATTAAAGTAGACTTCAGAACAAACAAAAGTAAAAATTAGGACATCAAATTAAGAGAAAGAAACATACGTCACAAGTTCCCTTTGTTTGTGGAAAGTTAGTTCCCATAATTAAATGAACCAATAATGCTAATGCTTTGAGAAGATTAAAGACCAGGGTAACTGGGATGTAGAAAAGTTTGTGGGGTTTTTTTGTTAATGCAGAATCTGTTTATATGTTTCAGTGCAATTTATTCTCTTACGTTCTATTTTTCAGCTGCACTAGAAAAGCTGGAAGAATACTTCAGTATTCGCACCCTGTATTTCATAGCATACCTGGCCTTTGGACTTGGCACAGGCCTGGCTACACTCTCCAAAAATATCTATGTGGTTTTATCTCTGTGCATAACTTATGGCATTTTGTTTTCAACACTCTGCACACTCCCATATTCCCTGTTGTGTGATTACTACCAGAGTAAAGAGGTAAGTTTTCCACTATTGCATGTTTTAAATCATAAAGCATAGACATTTTTACACTACTCACAGCTAAGACAACTTTCTGCCAAACCAGATCAAGTTTAACTAGAAATTTCTGCTCCTTTTCATTTTCTGCTTCACACATAATCAGTTAGAATTAACTTGTTTAAAAATCTTTGTAATATGTGGCCAGCCACATGTAAAACAGAAATCGTCTTCATCTCTATTGATCTTCCTTTGCCCTTCTCCCCTCCCCAGCCTCTCTCATGCTTCCTTTCTATCCTCCCTCCTTGTTCTCTGCTGAAAACCTGAAGTTTTATTTTAACTTATTTTTTCATAGCTCAGTCTGGTAGGGCAGTATTAATGTTCCTATACTGCCGTTGCAAAATCTGATCAGGAGCAAAAACAATAAAACCAGCCATACTGTGTCAGACCATTGCTCTGTCTAGCTCCGTATTCTTAATCTTCTGTGCCATATGCTGCAGAGGGAATGGACAGAAAAGGGAAATCATTGAGTGATTCATCCCCTGTTGTCCAGTCCCAAATTCTGACTGAGAATTCAGGGCACCCAGAGAATGGAGTGCATCTATGACCATCTTGGCGAGTGACTGCTGATGGACCTAGCTTTTGGAACTTATTCTTTTTGTGATCCAGTTATACTTTTGGCCTTCAAAACATTGCTTGGCACTGAATCTCACAAGTTATTGATTTTTGTGTGTGTGTATGTGTGAAGCACTTCCTAATGAAGAATCAGAGAGGGCAGTGTAGAGTAGGGAAGAAAATTGGCATCCTGTGACCTGCAGAAGAAGAAAGAGGAGAACTTATGTACCTCCAGTGCAGATAAAAATAGGAAACACTTTTCAGGCACTCTGCACAGGAACAATGACATGAATGGTTTGGAGGAGTTATCCGAGGACAGGGATCAGAAGGAGGTCCCATTGAACAGAAGGCCTGGGATGCATTGTCCTGAGGTGGAGGTTCCACGACCACCACTCCCAAGAGAAGACAGGTGCTGGTGGTCGGGGACTGCCTCCTTGGAGGGGTGGAGTCAGCCATCTGCCATCCAGACTGGGAAACTCGAGAAGTGGGCTGCTTACCTGGAGTTAGAATTCAGGATGTGACGAAGTGCCTGCCAATGCTGATCAAGCCATTGAACCAATACCCCTTCCTACTGCTTCCTGTGAGCGCCAGTGATACTGCCAAGAATGTAGGTTACTGCAGACTACGTGGGTCTGGAAAGAAGGAAAAGGGGTTTCAGGAGCAAGTTGTCTTCTCATCCATCCTCCCTGTTGAAGGAAAAGGTCCAGATAGGGGCCATCAAATTGTGGAGATAAATATGTACTTGTGCAGATGATATTGGAAAGAGGGCTTTGGATTCTTCAACCATGGAATGCTGTTCCAGGCAGATGGATTGCTAGGAAGAGATGGGCTCCACCTAATGAAGAAAGGGAAGAGCATTTTCACAGGCAGGCTTGCAAACCTTATGTGGAAGGCTTTAAAATAGGTTCTCTGGGGGATGGTGATGTAAGCCCTGAGGTGATGGGGAAGTGGGATACCAGGAGAAAACTCAGGGAGGCGGGAGCAACAGGGAATGCATCCTGATTCATACTGAGAAAGTAGGGTGGTCGGCTAGTTATCATGGCATGTCTACACTGGGAAATTATTTCAAAATAACTTATTTTGAAAGAACTCCTGAAATAACTACTCTGAAATAGCGCATCCACACTACAAAGGCAGCATTGAAATAGTGCAGAATTATTTTGAAATAGCGCATCCACGCTGCTTGGAGCCTGCATTGCATTTAAAGCCCCTGGAAGCACTCGGGGTGCGGGGGCGGGGGGCACCAGGAGGGCGGTCACTTCCTGTAGCTGCTTGCTGAGCCATGTGCTCAAAGGGGCTCCTCTCTACAGCCACATTTCTTCTCCACTGCCTACCCCTCATGGGACACCAAACTCATGCTGTGCGCTCTGGTTGCCCTTGTGGGCACCACAACACTTTCTACATGGAGCCGGAGTTGCAACAAAGAAGTGCCAGGCTCACAGGCCTTGTGCTGTGCCTCATGGAACAGTTTATCTGCACTGCCCACATGATGCTTCAGGACCACAATAAGCAGCACACACCCAGGCCCTGGCACTCCTGATGCAGGAAATGATCCTCAATCCCCTACATATCGTGGAATGCTGCTTCTAGTGGAGGGAGACCTGCTTCTAGTGGGACCGCATCGTCCTGCAGTGAAAGGACCAGCAGTGGCTCCAGAACTTCAGCAATGCAGAAGGCCACCTTCCTCAGGCTCTGAGAATGGCTCACCCCGGCCCTCAGGCAACAGGACACCCAGCTGAGACCCGTCATCCCCCTGCAGATGTGCATCGCCATGTCCCTATGGAAGTTCACCATGCCGGACAGCTACCACTGCCTCAGAAACCAGTTTGGCATGAGGAAATCCATGGTCGGGGCCATGCTAATGCTGGTAGTCAAGGCCATCAACTCCATATTGTTGTGGAGGGTTATCATCCTGGGGAACATTGACCCCATCATCGATGGCTTTGCTGCCATAGGCTTCCCCATCTGCGGGGGGCAGGGGGAGAGTGGGGAGACGGAGACGGCATCCTGGTCCCCAACCACTGTGCCTCGGACTATAGAAACAGAGGTACTTTCCGATGGTGCTGCAGGCCCTGGTGGTCCACAAGGACAGTTCATGGACATTTATGTTGGCTGCTCAGGGAAGATGCATGATGCCCACATATTCCGGAATTCAAGCCTGTTCCAGAGGATACACGTCAACACTTTTTTTCCTGATCACACCATCAGGGTCAGGGATGTGAACATGCCCATGCAAATCCTGGGTGTTGCAGCCTACCTCTTATTCCCCTGGCTGATGAAGTGCTATGTGGGCAGCCTGGACCCCACCAAAGAGCACTTCAGTGCAAGGCTCAGCAGATGCTGTATGGTGGTCGAGTGTGCCTTCAGCTACCTAAAGAGGAGATTCAGAAGTCTCCTCTGCTGCCTGGACCTCAGTGACCAAAACATCCCCTACATAGTGGTGGCCTAATGTGAGAGCAAGGGGGAGACGCTCCTGCCTCGGTAAGGGGCAGAGGCTGAGCGGCTGACCAGGGCTTACAAGCAGCCAGATACCAGTGCCATTCGATGAGTACATCATGGGGCAGTACTCATCCAGGAGGTCTTGAGAGAGAGTTTCAGCCAAGGCCATCTGTAAGACTCTTCCCCCAGATACGCCCACAAGGGGCCTCTGCATTGCCCCTGTGTGCGCTTCTTCTCCCACCCTCCCTTCCCACCCCCTTCCAGTCCCAATAAAAAAAGCCTTTTTGACAAAGAACTCTGGGTTTTTTATTTGAGGGGTAAACAACAGGGCAGTAGGGAGGAGGGGGCTCAGGGCTGGGGCTGGCACCTGCCTTGGACACCTTGGGGGAGCTTCAGCTGCCCAGTAAGTTCCACCACCCCATGTTCAGGGGCCCCCGCAGCCCCTGGGGGAGCTAGGATAAGTTAGGGGGCTGGTATGGGACTTGGGGGGAGGGTGCAGGAAGGTGTGTGGGGGAGTGTTGACCTGCTCCATACCGGTGGTCATGTGCTCCATGACATGTTATGGAGGAGGAGTACATAGCCTTGTACTGCTGCTCCAGCTGCTCCCACAGGGCCTCCCTCTACTCCTGGGCAGCTTGGCACTCCTCGCAATCAGCAACCTGCTCCTTTCGTGCCTTCTCAAAGCCCTGGATGAGGGGCTGGAGGCAGGCCGTGTGGTCCCAGAGCAGATCTGGTTCTCTTTCTGTGCTGGATTTCACAGTGTTGGGAAGATGGAGGCTGAGGTGGCGGACATGCCACACTTGCAGCTGGGCCAGCTGTGGAAAAACAAAGTGACATGGGCAGTCATCTCAGGACATACCATGTGTGAAGCCTAGCCCTAATCTGTAAGCCAACGCCAAAGGTCTCGGTTCAGATGATGGCAGTGTGATTCAAGCAAGGCCATCTCTTGCCTAGACAGCAGGGCACAGATGTCTGAGGGGAGTCTCACTTACCCCCACATCGCAGGGACAAGCAGGCATGGGAATGTGCTGGCCTGGCCAGGAGCCTGTGAGCAGGAGTGAGGGATGGGGCAGCCTTGTTTCCTTCCATGTCCCACACATGTTGGGTCCAGCCATGGAGGGAGAAATGTTATCCCTGACCACGGGAGGTGGGGGGAGGTGTTGGGAGAGGTGTGTGAGAGCAGGAGAGGCCGCTTTCTGGAGACAGTGCTACTGGGGTCTCCTCCTATATCTTCTCCTGGCAGATTCTCATGAAGGGGATCAGTCTCCTCTGTATCGCCAAATTTGGCTGGGAGTGGATGCTGCCTGAAAGTGTAGATATGCACCTATGGCCTGTGCAGCACTGCTGTGTGTTTCCATGACCCCAGCCTCTTTAGGGGTGGCTTGTTGCTGGGAGGTGTCCCACCACGGAGTCCAGAATAAGGCAGGAACCTTGTGCGAAGGATCCAGGCATTCTTGTGGGAGAGTGTCATGGAGCTGAATGCTTCAGACTGGTGCTCCATGAGCACAGGCTGTTGTGACACACAGGCCAAGAAGGCAGAGCGAGGAGCATGCAGCCCCTTACAGCCAGCTGCCTCCCCCACGTGTGTCTAAGGAGTTATGGAACTCACCTGAAGTGCTTCCCAAGGATTGTCTGAACCCTGGGAGGCATCCTGGGAGTGGGGACTGGCTCCAGGCTGAGGATCAGCTCCTGCCTAGATGGTGTCCTTGCTGGTCTGCTCCTCGTAGTCATTGTGGAGGCTGAGGTTGGGTGTCCTGGCCAGAGCAGGCAATGGGCGGGGGAGTGGGGGGGGGAGGTGACCAGCCTTCTTCCCAGGATGGCATCCAGATGCTCATAGAGGTGGCAGTTATGTGGTGCCACCCCAGAGCATTTACTTTTCTTGCTGGCCTTGGTGTGGGCCTGCCAGAATACTTTAGCTTTTATCTGGACCTGCTCCAGGGTCCTGGTGTGCCCCTTTCTGCACGGCCTGGAGGGGGGTGTGGTGGCCATCTGGCTGTACATGCTGGCATTCAGCCTTTCGGTGCAGAGATCGTGGATGTTGGTCTCCTCCTCGTAGACCTCGATGAGATTCAGGATCTCTGCAGCAGTTCAGGCCGGTACCCTCTCATCCCTGAGAAGGGGCATCAGAAGGTACTGCAGGAGAGCTGGCAGCTGAGAGGGTGCAGAGGGAGCGCAGGGGTCACTCATGGCTCCTCTCAACAGTACTGTGTGGTACAGAGCTCTCCTGGGACCACAAGCCCTTCCCTTCTGCCTGCAGTTTTAAAGTCTGCAGGAGAAGGGGAGCATTGGAGTTGTCAGGGGTATGGCCAGAGAATCCACAAGTGCGGCTGAGAGAGGCCTGTGGAGAGCAATTATTTTGAAACTAGCCAATTAGCCTGTCATAAGACGGGATTTTCAGGCCTCCCCTCCACATTGGTCTTCTCTCTTGAGACTCCGGTCTCTCTCTCTCTCTCTCTCTCTCTCCTCCTTCTACTGCCTCCCCCCCTCTCTCTCAGCTCTCCTCCACCTTCTCCCTCTCTCT